TATCGATTTTTTTTTTTCTGTGTGAAAAGTGATGCACCCTAAAGTATATAGATAAGTTTGAATATATTTATTTGCGGTGTGTATGCGACACTTTACAAGCGAATTAGCAAGTTTTGCAAACGATAGTTAGAAGACTGTGAGCTTTTTCAATTGTAATGGCGCGCAAGCTAAATACACTAAAATTATAACTATATGCAAATATGCTTGCATATGTGTGCGCTTTCAATTTGCATAAGCGATCGTAAAAGTTTATGAATTCTTTTGTTTGCATGGAGATCATTGACAGCCCGTAGATTAGCACTTGTGGGTTTCTTGCTGTAATTTTTTTTTTTGCAGCAAATAAATCACAACCCACGCAGTTTTTATTAAGGTAGAGGTAATTTAGATTATTGTAGTAAATTTGAAAGTGTAATTTAAATTTTCTTCTAATTCCTTTACAAACTTAGGTGTGGTGATAAATATTAGAGCACGAGCTATTTTTATCAAAAAGACTTATCTCGCCCCCAAAGCAGTTAAAGAAGCTGACTATACGGCAAAGCTGTACATACAGCAATACATTTTTTTTTCATCCGAAATATAAAAACATGTCCATTTACAAATGTATAAACTAAGCCGGTTTTTAGTTACTCTAGTAAAATTTGTTTTTGTAGTCGGAGAACCAAACTTTTCTTAGACTGCAACCATGGAGCATCGCTGTCGGTACGTTATTTAGCTTTTGAAAATAAAAAACTTCAAGAAGGAAAGAAAGAAGAAGTGAATTTCGTGTGCTTATAAATGCTATGAGTAGTCTGAACCATCAATTTCAATGATTAAGCAGTGATTTATGGAATTCTATGTGGCCATACCAGCAGAGTTGACGTCGAACCTTGAGGTCATCCAAAAGAGGTCGTCACACACCTCTGACAAAAATGCTCTCGAAATAATTTCCGTCAAGCGTTTGTCAAAATCTGTTATTCCCTTTCTCCCTCCAAACAAATATTAAATAATACAATAAATATTAGCATTATTACCCACGATATTTTGCACATTTAACACTTTTCTTATTTCGATTATATCTTTTTCTGATTAATTTTTTTATGCAAATAAACTATTTATCACCATTTTATTGGAAACAAATATTTCGAACATCAGCATACGCCAAGTACTTCCCCTTTGATGGCATCTAACAAGTACTAAATATCTAATTAGTACCTGCCATCATTGCCTCAAGACATTTTTCGCCGACAAAACAGCAAAGCCAATAAAAATGCGGCTAGAAAGTCAGGCGTCGTAAAAATTTAATCAAACAAACGAAATTGTTTGTAAATATTTTCTGGGAAAATTGTCTGCAGATCCATGCTTGGCATATTAATACATGCATATACATATATGTATATGTACAAGTACATCCCAGCAAAAACTTTGTAATCGCAAACGCCTAGATGAGTAACGTGCTCTAGAATGCATTGCTATAAAATTTCATATTGCAATTAACTGCTTTTAGGCATTTTTTTTTTTTATGATAATCCATAGTAAATTTCGAAATTAAGTCCAACTTCTAAGGGAAGGAGGGATATAAATGGCGTTCGCCAAGGGTAACGCAGCGGGTTTTTTCAGCCTAAGTGTGCTTTTGCACAGTGGCAGCTGCTCTAAGCTAAGCTAACCTAACCCTAACCATAAGCCGAAATGATATACATAACGCATTACAAATTTTGCTTTTTTTTTTATTTTTACCGGAAATTGAAAGTATCAACTTTAAGCCATTGATTCACTTACCGGTAAAACTACATATAAATATATCTTCTAAGGAAGAGTGTAAGCGATTCCCTATAACTTTTTCCTCAAACTTTACATTAATTTCTGGGTTAATCATGTTGCTTTGCTGCTGATACTGGGGCTACTGTTACCACATATTTACAACAAAGCATTACGGATCGCCGAGTACATTGCGCATACGCCATGCTGTGCTCGAATCAGTTGGGGTGCGCTGGGAAAGTCAAACAAATTAATGAGTTCTGACAGTGCAATAAATGGCAACCAATGGTGAATGGCGTAAATGGCGTAAAAGTTTTGCCAAAAGCGGCGCCAACAAATCGCAAGCCGCTGATTATCATACGGACATACGTGTATTTTTATTTAGCGCAGAACGATCGGGTGGGAATTATGAAATATTTAACAGAGTAATAAGTATATGCAAAAATATATGAATATTTAGATATTGCATTACGACTTTGTGGTTACTAACATAAATGCGGTTTAAGATTTTTTTGGTGTAGAAAAGCAAGGAACACTGCAACCTAAATGTTATTTTACATATATGACAATATTGAATTCCATAACTATGAAGCCATAATATATTGTCAGCTTACGATTCATTGCTTGATCCGTCTGTGTACTAATGAACATACACATCTGTGATCGCAATCAGGGGGCGTCAATACGCTAGACTTCCCGCTCAAGAATTTCTTGCAAAAACAAATGTAGTTCAGTATAGAGTAAAAAAGCCTGCATCTTTCTATACCGGTTTTTTTTTCCATACATACCCTAATGTTTTTGGCTAACAAACTACGAAGGCATATGAACAAATTAGATGGGCGATCATGCGATATATCCATTCTGGTCACATTGACCACAAACCCTATTTTCAATTAACAATGGGCTTGTATGTATGGCTTTAATAAGAGTTTTTCCTAAGTAGTTCCAATTCAGCCTTTTATCATACCCACCTTGGTATTACATTTCTTCGGAGTAAACCGAATGTCGAAGAAGGCACACAGAGCAACCAACTTACATACTGCAGGCCAAAGTCCATCAGTTGCCATTTTGAAAGTACCTTTTTTCTATCAAGAAACCAATTACATTCTTAGAGAGTCGTTCACCCGCTTTGACCTTGAAAGTATTTATTTGGTGGTAATCAAATTATTCGTTTTCATATTTATTCTTCTACATACCTACATAAACAAATACATACATATGCACCTATAGTAAAATAACTCAACCTCTTTTCTATTATATACCAGCGTAAGCACAATCAACATAATCGTCGAATAAACAAGCAACCAGTGGCTCTGATCAGCTGATAAGCTAACTTTGCCTCCGATTAAATACCTTTTCTACTAAATGAGGACAACTTGAATATTTAGTTGTGATATTTCAAATAGGTGGTCTCGTAAGCATTTAAAAATAACCATTATACCATCAACTGCCAACGAGATTGCCACTGTTAACGTTTTAGAATGTTATAAAAAAATTTCATAGATATCTATGTAGGCAAAAAAAAAATATAAGAAATTATCTTTCAGACGCGGCACTTGAAATACTCTGACAGCCGCTAATTATTTGTTGATTTATCTCGCTGCGCTTTAACTGTAGAGCTTTTTTTCTGTTGAAAAAGCACCTAGAATGTCTATATACCGTTAGAGGAATGGAGCGAGAATTCGTAATTTTGATAAGGTACCGTTGATTGCCGCTTAGTTGTAATAATTTCTTTGCAATTATTAACTAATTAATGATGATGTTGGTAAATTTTTTTTTACTTGTTTCGAATTGGTTTCGGCTTTCGGTATTTCTTGTTTGGAGTCGATGATTATGATTGTCAAGGTGGTGAAGAGGCAAAAATTATGGCACATTGGCGCAACTCGCTCTGAATTTGATTGGTATGGTTCTACATATACATACATACTGGGCGTCAATGAAACCCAGACGGAAAAATGCAGAGCGCTTATGAATAAACACTTTCAGGAAGAGCTTTTTCCATAAGATCTTGGAAAGCTGTACTAAAAGATCATTCAATAGCCCTGCCGTACGAAAGCAAACAATAAGGTATGTTTTCAAGGCAACGGAAGTCAAATAAAGTAGACGTTTCAGCGCAGATCTGATACAAAGTCAAAGTTTATTTAATCATTATTATTTCATGTGAATTTTTCCCTGCTGAAGGAACTTGAATCAGAAGGCCTTGAAGGTCTGATGATTCAATACAAAATACAATCGCTTCAATAGGTCCGAAATAAGGGCTACCAATAGAACTCTTTTTTTCTTTGAATAGAGACACTAATTTTTCGCTTTTTTCTGTGTTTTTTCCTTTTATTTACTTTTTATTATTTTCAATTAATTCTTTAACAAAACCATACAAAGCAAATTTCAAACTTTATAGAAAAAAAAAACAATCTTCAAACTTTCATCAAAATTTGAATTTTTTCTTAGAATTTGTACTTTTTTGGCTACGCAGTTTTGTTGCCCATTAAATTTTAGTACATACATATAAAAAAATGCTAGTTTAAATAGCTACAAATTAAAGTGGATTTTTGATAATTTTTTAACTGACGCTCTTCCGCATTTTTTTATATAAAAACTCAGCATGCGTTATATGGAAAAAATTGCTGAAGAGCGTCAGTAAAAAACTTGTCAAAATCAACGATAATCTGTAGATACTTCCGATTTACACTTTGTTCTACCAAAATTGTATGGGTTACATAAGCTTGAAATTTTGATGATTTTTTTTTTTAATTTTCTGCAAAGTTTGAAACTTGGGTTTACATGGTGTTTGTTAGAGAATGAACTACACACATTTTCATTGAAAAATAATGGAAATTAAAGAAAAGAAAAATAATCCAGAAAAAAGCGAAAAAGCATAAATATATGTACATACTATACATATGCATACAGACACATAAGAAATGTACATACATATGTCTGTTGGCAGGTATGTATGTAGGTATCTATATATAAGCAAATATAATTCATTCATCATTCTTGTACACCCCGTTTTCGGCTCACTTTCTCTTTGCTTTCCCCTGCGTCCATTTTGCTACACTTGCACTCACACATATACACAATTATATTATGAAATTTAGCATACTTTTAGGCATTACCAAAAACCGTATGCGCTAATTCTGTTTTTGCATGTAGAATGTGTGTGTGTGTGTGTGCGTGTGTGTGTGTGCAAATAAACGCTCGTTCAAGCATTATCTTATTTTATAACTAAGTAAATTCTCTCTTCACCCGCTGCTCTGCTCTCTCACCTGTTGTGATGTGGATGATGTTTCCTTAACGCTACTACTAGAACTGGAACTTGTATTTATGTGTCGCCCCACAGTCGTTGTTGTTGCATTGCTTAAACCATTATTAGCGCCGCCACCATTGCAGCTAACCGCTGTGAGGCCATTAATGGCGGGCGTTGAGACTGTGGTCACTGTACCGGTGCCGACGCCGCCACTTGTTGTTGGTGTATTGCCGCTATTCTTCTTGTGGAAATTTTCAATTAACGACGCTGCTGGACTGGCAACGCCACTATGTGAACTATCCGAAAAATCAGACATCTGAAAAGGAAAGAAAGCATATAAAATATTTGTGAAAAAGCTGGTTTATCAATAAAAAACAAATTATTACGCATTAAAAATTCTAATAATTCGCCTAACAGTTTTTAATGCGTGCGAAGTCAATAAAAAATTTTATGCGCATTTTTGAGAGAAATGCGCCGAACAATTTTAATATCCTGCCAATTTAAATTAAAAAAAAAAATTTAATTAAATTTTAATTAAAACAGATTGCAAAGTAATTGGTACTCCAACAAAATAAATGCATTTTATTTTATTTATTTGAATGTTGTGTAAGTTAAAAACTTCTACTAAAATACAAAAATTCGCTCTCGTTTTGAAGGGGAACTTTCTGACCGCAGCCAAAGGTGATTTGCTTTCAAAATATATTATTTTTTTTTTTTTGCTTTTCGCTATTGATAATGATATATGTGCTTAAATATGTATATTCGCTAGACATGCTGTCGTCTAGTACAAAGTTGTGGCTTTAGAAAAACAATCTGAATAAAAGTAGCACAATCCTAGATTTGATGGTCTGATAAGTTGCTGCAAAGTGCAAGTTTTAATCATTTTGATAGCTGAGAATTATATATATATATATATATATATATATATATATATATATATATATATATGTGTAGAATAAATGTATTTGCGGCGGTGCATTTAATCTTAGAGAGTGTTAAAGTTCAGTTACAGATGCATAGTGAAACTAAAAAAAAAAAATATATATGTATATATATAAGCTGACTTAGGAAGGCATTATAAAACATTTGATTCATAACACTTCACAGATTGATTAAATTCAGAAATTAGAAAACTTAGTGCCGTTTACTCAAGTAGGTATTAAAATTTTCTGCCCTTAAATAATTTTTTTTGCAACACAATTTATGCTTAAAGGGCAGATAAAGAGAGATGAGAAAACGACCCTAAGAAAGAATTAAAAAAAAATTGGGCCGGAAATGAAATTGTAGCTCTAGCAAAGTGTCTTCCACGTATTTAATTGGGTATAAGAAATTGCAAAGATTTTTGTCTAAATTATTCATGAAAACGATTGAACTTCCTTCGAAAGTTCGTATTTCGACCGAGAAAATTGGTTAAAATAAACCGGGAAGTCCTTTAAGCGACTGCCAATAAACTAGGTATTACTGTAATCAGAATGGTTACGCACTTGCCTTTGTAAGATCCGCTACGAACTCTCTTAATGTTTCCCGAAGGAACTCGCCAAAAGAAAATTTTCGGCAGCGCAGCTCTACTTAAAAAAAAAAGTTAAACAAAATAGCAGTGTGTCTGGGCCACACTACAGAAGCAAAACTTCCTTCGATTCATTTTTAGTTCCTTTGATAGTGTAGAAATTTGTATTAATCTTAATACTAGCTTAAGTCTTTGTATTAGTATTCGTCTTCGCATTCGTATTCGTATTCAACTTTGTATTCGACTGTGTAAGTATTCGTCTTCGTATTCACCTTCGTTTTTAACGTCGTATTCGTATTCCATGTCGCATGCGACTTCGTATTCGTATTCGTATTCCAGTTTGTCTTTGTCTTTGAATTCGTGTTCTTCTTCGTCTTCGTTTTGGTCTTCATTTTCGTCATCATTTTCATCTTCGTTTTTGATGCCGTATTTATCTTCGTATTCGACATCATCCTATTTGTCGTCTTCTTCAGCTTTGTTATTAATGTCGTATTGGTACTCGTATTCGTATTAGTATTCGTATCGCATTCGTGTTCTTTGTTCCAACTTACGTCTTCATATGCGTATGTGTCTTCGTATTCGTTTTTGTTTTTGTTTTCGTATCCGTCTTCGCTTTTGCTTTCGCCTTTGGCTGTGGCTTTTTCTTTTTTTTACCCCTGTTTTTGCCTTAATCAAAGACTTAACCTCAAACCGTTGCCAAGCATATTTCAATAATTCACTCTAAATAGTATTACTGAAGGCGTAAATAGAGAAAATAAAAGTGAATGCCTGCCGTTGCACGGCGAATGTCACCGTTTGTTAGTTCACCGCCCCAGCTAAAGAAATATCACTTCAAAAAGTATCTGGTCAACAAGAGTATTTCTTCCTATGAGGGATCCCATAAACTATGACAATTTTAAAATTTAGATTTATGAAATTTATCCAAGCCAGGTGCTGCTGAAACTATATCAGAGCAACGAGATGAAAGTGTCTTTACGCAACTAAACAACTCCAAAAGCTTCAATTCTGAATAAGAACTGGAACCGGCTTGACTTAATATAAATTTGTTACATATTCTCACACTTATTTAAAAAAAAACTGAAGCAAAGCACGAACCCATTTCTTTGTGGTTTTCATCGAATTGTGAAATATGAAGAACTGGTTTAGATTTGCAAACGCGCCACCCACGCTAAAGAGTTCTTGAATTGCTGATATCGCGCAAAGCCGGTCGCTGCGGCAATTGTTAGCATACAAAAAAAATTTTAAATACCCACGCAGTAGAGTAGGTATGAATATGTTTGCATATATATAAGCGTACATATCGACATGTATAGCAAAATAGTAATAATAAAGCAAAGTACATTGTGCACTAAGGTGGTCTAAAAATGCTTGTGAAAGAAGTAAAGTCCGAATTTTAATGCTCTTACCCCCTAGAAGTTGTCTATATCGAAAAAATATAAACCTCTTTTTTATTTCGAAATCAAAATTTATTATTTATTCAGAGGTCGCTCAAAGTTTTTCATGCATTTTATATGAAAAACAAAAATTTTTTCGTCGAACTGGTATAGACTGCTCTCTGTTTCTCCTCAAGAGACTACCAATAATAATACCCATGTGTTTATTTTACAATTTTATAATACAAACAATTTTTTATGGGTCTCCCCATAGCAATTCTTTGGGTTTTTGCGGACCTATAAAAAATATTTGTTATTAAAAATTTGTTAAAGAAATAATTGGGTATTATTTTTGGGAGTCTCCGGAAGAGAAACAGAGTTTTTTCATTGAAAAATGTTGGTTTTCCAGAGTTCTACTATATATTTCTATGATTTTTTTTGCTTTCTTTGAGCGACCTCTAAAATTTTTTGATTTCAAATAAAAAAAACAGGGATACATTTTTTCGGATTTTATCTACTTTTTGGGTCACCCTAATGTAAACGCAATCTATTCTTAAAAATAATCAGTAGTAAGGCTTTCTAGTACGCTTCCGTTTTAATATTTTGAGGCGCGATGTGTATTCATTGTTCGAAGATCTTCTAACATAACTTCTAAAGAAAATGTCTTATCGAAAAAGCGCTTCCTGAAAGCTATAATACGCTCTTTAAATTGCTATTTGGGTATTTCGATAGGAACTTATTTATGTATGAACTTATAGTCGCATGTGTTTGTTTTTATCTTTGCCTCTGTTTTGTTCTTCTATTTACAAATCTAAAATATATTTCACACACTCATTTCGTTATGTGCAAGTATGTACTACCAAGAACAAGAAATCTATAAAAAATATTTATTTTTTTTTATGTTCACGAAATATTGAAGTGCTAAGCCAATGTTCATTAAACGCCAAATATAGGCAGCAGCCACATGTGGCGGCAGTAAGTACTTTTTCGGACATTTCCATCATGGCCATAGCGTCTTCACGGCAAGAAAGAATATGTAAAATAAATCATAAATCGCTGAGAAACTAATTTCAAATGCAGAAACTAATTTCAAATGCATACATTGCCATTAAACTTAGTATGCCCGCTAGCTAAGCCCAGCTAAGAAAACCTATCATAGTGATATCAATCCATATCTCTTAGCTCTAAATAGTAAAATATGTATTTGAGCGATTTGATGCCGATGAATTCTTTTGCTATAGTTTAATACATACTTGCAACTCCATCAATAACTCTACATGCAAATTAGCTGCTATTACCGTCCAACCAAATCTTTCCCCACAGCACAGTTGCAACTGCAATTTATTACGAAATCACCAATTTTAACTTGATTGATCATTGAGCATTCATGGTGCAAGACAAGTTTCTTAATATCTCACTATATTGCAGTATGGCTTAATAAAATGTCTTCAACGCTTGAAACCCGGTAGCAATTAGCTGTGTAATAAGACAACTTGCACACCCAGTAATTAAAAATATAATCAACACACATATGTACATATTTGAAACCCGTTCATAGCTGTATGTCATAAATTTGAAAATATTACAGTTCGTTTTGAAACGTCAACATTTATAGAGGAGGTGTAATATATAGTTTAATTATCAGGGTTGCCATTTCTTGCCGATAGCGACTGCTGTTAAAAAAATGTACAGTATCGATCGGACCAGAATTTGAATCCAAATCTGTATGTGTAAGCCATCGTGGACCGATCCTAACGAAAATGCAGCCCACCACGGTATTAGCCAAAATATATACAGCCAGAAAAATGAGCAGCATCCAATGAGCAACTTGGACAGGTGTTACAGTAGTCATTAATTCGTACACAACTGATTCACTCAACGTTATTCTGAACTAACGACCCATTGAATATTCCATAGGCAAAAAGGAAACTTCGCAATCACACTGAGAGTCTGGCAGCTGGCGCCAGTTAAAGTAATATTATTGACTTTAAAAATAAGTGTCGTAGTTTTGGTGAAATTCAAGACCCAAATTATCTCTCTTACACATTGCTACTAGCATATTTATTTCAATCAGTTGGGTTGTTACGAAATACAAAGCCATTGTCGCGCTGGTCTCATCGGCAACAAACTCCAAAACAGTCACGAGATTGTAAGATGTTGTTCGCTCGAATTAATCCAAAGAGAAATACATTTACAATTCAAGAAATAGACTGCAGCATGACGGAGAGGTGTGGGTAACTCAATACATTTTCAGAAAATTACTGCTTAAAAGACAATTTTAGTTCCTAAGGACAGCTAACATCAAAAGCCTCAGAAGAAAATGGTATGAAAATAAGGCTCTAAGCGTTCATTGGCAACGCTAAAGCAACTAAACAACCAATCGCTTAAAAAATCTCGCTTAAAAAATCTAGATATTTAGCTACCTACATATTTAAC